AGTGGCGATTCAGAATGAGATGAACACTGACTTGAAATGCTGATCACTCTCCTCCACATCTATGCAAAGCGTTTTTTGAAGGAGGTAATGGACGTTCTTTCTTTATCAAAGTTTGGTTATAGGAACCTTAGGATTAAAATGCTCGAAAGCTCAACCTTAACCCAATACAGTAACGCAGTTGTCGAATATTGATGAATAGTGTCTTATCACAAAATCTCTTGCTTATTGTTCCAGAATGAATTTGATGTTGTAGAGCTATTATAAACGAGCCACAAAGGCTAGCTCTATCAAAAGAGAAGTCTTATCACTTTTTTCAGAGAAACGCCTAGCAGATATGGAAGGCAGATTTGGAATTAGCGTTTCAAGCTGCACCTATTATGCATCTCTTTCCCATTCGCCTTCGAATAAGTATGTTTCCCTTGTAGACTTTTTTCAACAAACCTCTTGGAATTTACATACCATTATAGCCAGAAGCTTCATAGTGGAATTTGCTTCAAAAATCTGAAACTTTGGACATAAGTCTAACATTACGTTTAGAAACACTAGGAACTTTTTTAGAAAAACTTTTTTTCGGAGACATACATATTTTATGGAATAAAGACAAAAGGTTGATGCTGTGGCAGATCCTTACACTTCAACGTAACTTTTTATTATTCATATGTGGCATAAGCAGCTTCAAGCATCGTCGAGTGTACGTACAGTGCATCTGAATATTCACTGCCGAAAATATGCCAGAAGTCGACTAACAGGCTCGTGTTGGAATCTGTCTCGACAGCACTCTTGGACATCACGCAATTGTTATGAACTGTAACAGAGTAACATTGAGCGAGATTGACTACTCTGTCGTCTAAATTACATGTTCCCTGGCGCAATCCCAAATTGCTTGACTTTATAATCAGTCCCTGTTTAGTTACCTTCTTGAGCCTTTTCAATACTGATTCAAATTATGCGTCTAATCAATTCCTTTCTTTTCAAGTGAAAGAATACAGGCATGATTTTGATTGTTGAGTCTGTATAATGAGTTATTACTATAAGATATCGAAAACTTACCCTCGCCAACATTCAGCGATATCCAAGTCCACGAAGTGAGTTTGTGAACACAAATTTCACAAAGGCGCATGTCTCTAGTAGGTGCTTTGGTATGACCTTTCTTCAATCATCACATTATCTCGTTTACGCAGGGTCTGTTGCACGAGTGAACTGTCTCCAATAATCTCAATTCAAGGCATGATGTTCGTCTATCCTAAGCTCTGCAGGTCAGTTTTGATTCTTTCCATCCACCCCATTCCTAGCCTTCCTCGTGGTCTCTTTCCAGCGACCTCCAGAGACATCGCCACTCTTGTGATATCGGTCTTCTGCTCATACTATCTGGTCCGTACTATCGCAGTCGTTTTTCCTGCTCTTTTTAGTGATGAGAGCAATTTCATGTTAGCACTAAGTCAACAGACATGATTCAGCAAGGTGATGTCCAGTGTCCATCGCAGCATTCTTGTCTCGATGACACTAAGCTGTGCTCTTCATTTCTTGTACTGGGTCAATTCGCTGCCCTGCAGAGCTGTTAGACGGATCACAGTACAGTATATTCGGAACTTAATGCACTGACTGGCATTCGCTTGTCACAGAGAACTCCTGTAAAGGCTCTTCATTTCGTCCAGACCGCCTTTGCTTAGGCAGATAAAGTCCTCCTTCACC